GGACGGGCCGGGGGCGGGGCGAGCTGGGACAGGGCGGGGGAGGGGGCGGTGCCCGGCGTCGAGAGGCCCGGCGGCCATGGCGGGAAGCGAGGCAGGAAGCGAGCCGGGCCCCTCGCCGCCGCCCGCAAGCGACTGGGGCCGCCTGGAGTCGGCCATCCTCAGCGGCTGGCGGACCTTCTGGCAGTCGGTGGGCAAGGAGCGGGCGGCAAGGACGGCCTCTCGCGAGGAGGCGGGGGAGGAGAGCAGCGTCCTGACGCGGCTGCCGGTGAGCGCGGGCCCTGCCTGGACCCCCGGCTGCCGCCGCCCGCCGAGGGCACGGCGGAGCTCTTCTTCGCGGGCACCCTGACGGACAGCCGCCTGGACCGCAGGGTTTCTCCCCTCCGAGCAGGCGCGTAGCACCGAAGCACCCTGAACTGCGGGTTGAGGAAATGACACTTCACAGCGGGGTCGCTTTCGCCGTCCGCCGGCCGGCCCAGTGTGGCCAAGCCCACTCGCGAAGCGCTGTCCAGGGGCGTGGTGATATCCGACTGCGGATTCAGAACACACCACTCAGTTCGACAAAAATGACCAAGTCACACTGTCCACAGGACATAAATATTATACACATTATACAGTGTTAGCTTTCACTTTAGATAGTGAAGTAGGAATTTTGGGCAATTGTTGCATTCTGTGTCTTATTTGGATTATTGACATCTCCCTCCGATGACCATCCTAACTTGAAAACTGCAGCCTTCGAATGTCTCCGAGGTCCTTCTCTTCTCAGTGTTCTTTGAAACAATTCCTGCATATTAATTTTACAAAATACTAGGTTTCAGTGTATTTCTGTGCACTCATATCACATTTTGGTTGTTTCCATCTCTCCACACTTTCCTTTACATACATTCTCTCCCCATGTCCTTATTCCCTTCCTTTTGTCTAGTGACGCCTTCCAACTATTTTCCTGTGTCTCTGTCTGTGTCTGTCTGTCTGTCTGTCTGTCTTTCTTTCTTTCTTTCTTTCTTTCTTTCTTTCTTGTTTCCAAATATTAGGGAAAATATACATTACTTGCTGCACTTGCTGCTTGCCTTCCTGAGTAGTTTATTCACTTAACATGATGATCTCTAGTTCCAACGTTTTTCTGCCACTGACATTTTGTTCTTATACATACTACACTATGTATATATACACTATATTTTCTTTATTTTTTAACCTGTTGATGAGCACCGAGGCTGGTTCTTTATCTTGGCTCTTTGGATTTTACCACCATACATGTGAGTATGCACTCTGCACAGTGTGCTGACATGAAAACCTTTATGTACATAAGGGGAGTGGCATAGCTGGGTTATGTGGTTATATATTTAGTTTTTGAAGATCCTCCCCACTGATTTCCAAGGTAGTTGTGCTAAAGTACTTTCCCACAAGTGTAGAAGGGTTTCTTTGCCCCCATATTTGCAACAGAATTTAATGTTTTTTTCTTAAGAATAGCCATTCTGGCAAAGGTGAGATGGAATCTCAATGTTATTTTTTCCAACTTTTTAAATTGGCTATATAGGGGCTGGTGAGATGGCTCAGTGGTCTAAAGCACCTACTTAGAACAAGCTAAAGTAAGCAAAGCCCAGGGACAACGGTTCAATCCCCCAGCACCACATGCCAGCCAGCCCCGCCCCCTGATGGGCTGAGCTGGACACACACACACACACAAATAAATAAAAATTTAAAAAAAAATAAATTGGCTATATAGATTAATTACTTTCATTTTTAAAAATTCATACTTATACATAACATACTTTAATCATTTCACTCCCTATCATATTTATCCCCTCTATGACCCATGCTTATACCATTATACCTTGCATCTTACTCTTTTCCTCTTTTCTAATAGTCTCTCTTCTACTTTCTTGTCATTTTAAGTTCCACATACTAGATTATATAGAGGAACTTAAATGACAAATCTGCATTCTTTAATGATAGCATTAGAAAATTAACCTCTTGATAAAGGTTTTATTTTGAAGCACAAATTATTCCTTTAATATAAATAATTGGAATATCAGAATATCCATCAGAAATTACAAGAACTGGGGCCGGGAAGATGGCTCAGTAGGATAAATGCTTGCCTGGCAATCACAAGGGCCTGAGTTCTATACCCGGTTCTGAAAAAAAAAAAAACTTAGAAGAACCAATTATTATACCTGAAAAACAGCAAGACAGTGTTAATTTCTTAAAAGTATCAGTGTATCAGAAATTAGGACATTCACTTAGACTTCTCCCTTTGTGGAAGGAAAATAACTTCAGAATGATATGTTTAACTATTAAAAATATTATTTCAATTGACTTATTTAGTACAATAATTTTTTGTTCTCTATCATCAAGCAACAACTAGGATAAATTTTCTGATTTCTTCTGTTTCAGGTTGATGTACAACTATATATTTTGTCATTTCTTTCACCATATGATCTGTGTCAGTTGGGAAGTACAAATCATTATTGGAATGAAATTGTACGGGATCCAATTCTGTGGAGATACTTTCTTTTACGGGATCTTCCTCGTTGGTCTTCTGTTGACTGGAAATCTCTTCCAGATCTAGAAATCTTAAAAAAGCCTGTATCTGAAGTCACTGACAGTGCATTATTTGATTACATGGCTGTGTAAGTATCCAGTTTTAAGAATTAAAAAGTTAATAATTTTGTTCCACCAGTAGCCTATGTTAGTCCTGGCCCTACTACTAACTTGTTGCATGGATTTGGGTTCTAAGTGTCCTCTTCTCAAATAAAGCATTGACTTAACTGTTTTCCTTTGTAGGAGCACCTCAGCTTTGACATTATGCCCTTATGGTGCCTGTTTAGTGTTGAAATAATTATATGTAATACAAATGGTAAAAAAATAAAATACTTCTTTAAAGTTTGATTTTCTTTAGAGCACTTGTTGTCTTGTTAAATAGTAAATAACTCTCCATGTTGAGAAAAAGAATGACTAAGAGATCAGTATTTTGGCAGGGAAGAAAAAGTAAGATTTTATTACTTAAAAGCATCAACATTTGTTAGTACATAAAAGAATTGCAATGACTGTAGATTTGTTCTATTGGATTCTATGGGGGACTTTGTTTTTTTTTTTTTTCTTTTCAAAGTTTTATTGATAAACATATAGCAATCAGACAGTTTCAAATCAAATTGTAAGTACAGTTTCAACAAATAATACACTGCATATATTCTTCTTAGTGGTTAATTGCTGTACAAGATGCAGACTTGTGATCCTACTTACAAACACCATTAGAAAAAAATCATTCTATTCATTAAGAGAATGCAACTATATATCTATCCCAACCACTTTGAATACACAGATACAAAATGGACATTCATAGGTATACCCCAATTTTTTTTTAAGTTCCATTGTTGAATATTATAGGTGTGTAAACTCAGCAAAATATTCTAAAAGAGTACAGAAGCCCATAATAGCATTGAGTTTTCTGTTTAATTGGCAATGTCAGAAATTATTGACGTGAGTCCCCCACAGCTCAACATAACAACATGGCTTTACTTCCTATATTTCATCTTCATACTTTTCTACTGGATGGTTAAGACCAAGGTAAAGCAGAACCTATGCAACAAGAGTTGTAGCTTTTTGGTTTGACAAGGTCAGTGAAATGCCCTCAGGATTTATCCTGAGATCCTGTACCTCAGATTGTAGAACCTTTGTCAGTGCAGCCATGTGGATGAGTCACGGCCATTGCTTGGCCAATGTGCTCTCTGTGAAAGCCTGAGAGAGTGTCTTCTCCCCATGTGACTCTCCTTAGGCACACTTCTATGGGGGACTTTGTGTATGTTAACTTATTCAGTCCTCATGTTTGACATTATGCCCTTATGGTGCCTATTTAGTGTTGAAAAAATTATATGTGGTACAAATAGTACCACAAATGGTAAAAATGTCAAACATTTTTTTAATGTTATGGATGTAGAATTAAAGTTGAAAGAGTTAATGTTTGCCTAAGGTCGTAGTTTTTAAGGGACTATTCGTATTGGAATCTGTCGTGCTATGTCAGATAAGACTACTGGGTCTGAATATAACCAACTCTACTGAAAGCTCCAAGGATAAGGGATTATAAAAGAAATTAAAAGAATATTTATAATTTAGTGACGTATTGTTTTGCTGTGCTAGATTCAGTAGCTGTGTACAAGATTCCCCAAATTTTATTCCAGATCTGTTAAACTAGTTCATCAAAGTGTACATGATTTGTTGTATATAATTTCAGCAAATGGCACTGCCACAGAGCCAACTATAGCATCAAGTTTATTGTATGATGAGGCACCAGATTTTCCCCAGGAAATAGCAAAAAAGATCAGATAAACTGTTTATAATCCTTATAACCCTGTGATTTTATTGTGCAATAACGTAGAAGAAACTGAAGTTCAGATTACAAGAGAATTATATACATGCAGTGATCAAAATATACAGTTGATATTAAAAAATGTAATTATTATAAAAGTCACATTGCCACTAAGTGCCCTCAAAATGCCCCCCCACTTTGTACACACCTCAACGCCACTTTCTGAAGCAGTTCTGGAGGTCTTCTTTTGTATGTCTTTACAAGGTGTTATTAAAATATGGTAAACGCTACTATAAAGCTATCTAATGGAAACACAGGCTCCCGAAAATATTATGGAGTGCTGCATCCACTTTATTCATGGAGTCTGGCATCTTGTGATTTCTGGCTCTTCCTCAAAGTCAAAATGGCCATGAAAGATAACTGAATTGGGGGCCAGGGATGTAGCTCAGTAGAATAAGTGTTTGCCTGGCAAGCACAAGGGCCTGAGTTCAACCCCCGGTTCTGAAAAAAAAAAACAAGATAACTGAATTGACTAAGGACTTTGAGATGGTGCAACTAAAGATACAAATGAGAATTTCCATAACTGCTTCAGGGAGTGACAAGAATGATGGGATAAGTGTGTTCAAAGCAAGGGGGAATAAGCAAAGGCGAATATGCTTTATTGCAATAAAAATTTTTAAATTTAAATACTCCCTTTTTTTTCTGATCAGACCTTATAACTGACAGGGTAAAGCTCTTCTAGGTCCATCTAACTTCAAAGTTAGGTTTTGCTGTTTTTGCCTTTGTGAATTATAAGGTTCCTAATACAGATAATTTTATTAGATTAGTGCTTATCTTTGCCAGTATGATTTATTTAGAAGACTTAAAGCAATAAAATGCTTTAGGTTTTATTTTGTGGGCAACTATATTTTAATTTCTGATATAATGAAAAAATTGTTATTTTGGAGTTTACTATCTATTAAAAGAAACTGAATTGTTTTATAAAATTCTCAGTTTCCTAAGTGTTCTTTTTTCTTTTCTTTTTCTTTTGTGGAACTGGGGATTGAACTCAGGCCCTTGCACTTGCCAGGGAAGCACTTATTCCACTGAGCCATCTCCCTGGCCCCACCCTAAGTGCTCTATAAGGAACGTTTACACCTCCTTGTATGTTTAATATTTATTTATTTTTAAAATAATTTTATTGAGAAATAGCAAAGAGTCAGTTTCAAAACCAATTAGTAGGACAGTTTCAATAATTAACACATTGCATATTGTTGTCTTCTTAGTGGTTATTCATAGTACAAGATGTAGACATGATATCTGGTCCACAAACACTATTAGTACAAATCTTTCTATTCATTGAATTAAGAGAAAGTGGCTGTATATCTGTCCTATTTTGAATATACAGATAAAAAATGGTCCTTCATTTATATCCCCTTTTTTTGTTTAGTTTTGTCAGAGATGAGTATTCCATTGCCATTTAAATATTGTGGGTGCATGAATTCAGCAAAATATTACAATATAGTCCAGTAGTCCATAATAGTAGTGGGTTATCCATAGGACTGGCAATGTCAGAAGTTGTTGACTTGAGCCTTTTATAGCTCAGCCTATTAATATGGCTTTACTTTTTATACTTTGTTTTTATACTTTTCTGCTGGATGGTTAAAACCAAGATAAAGTAAGATCTATATAACAAAAAATGTAACTTTTGTGTCTGACAAGGTCAGTCAAATCCTCTCAGGATTTATTCTGAAACCCTGTAGTGAACTGTAACATTTGAAGTTGTTGATAAAAGTACTTAAGAAATATAATTCTATTAATAGCCTTTGTAAATGTTTTTAATTTCTAAGGAAATTATGCTAACTTCTGTATAACGTACCTTTATTATTCACACTAAATTCTATCTATTGCTAGATATTCTGGAATGGGGGAATAAAAACTTCCAGTTGAGACCCTCTAACCTATTAGTGAATGTTGCCCATTGAAGTGTTAGACCAAGTGTCCATAAGAGAATTTACATGAAAGTCCAGAAAGTCAGTCACCACTTCTTGAGGAGAGCTTCTTCAGCCTCCCTGCCTTGTCTTTTTCTCTGTCATAGTACTCTGCATACATTTATAATGGTGTTTAGTTTCCACCATACCCCTTGAAGATTGGGACTATATTATGCTTATATTCTTATACCTAGCAAGTGCTCAAAAATTATATATTCTTGAATGAATAATTGGCTAAGTCTCTTTTCTGTTAAATTCTTTTTTTCAATTTATTTTTATTGCATTTATTTGTAGCAAAACGTTGAAAAATAATTCAAAACACCTCCTTTTATTAGGTTGCTCTCTTCCAGTCTTAGTCCCAACATACTTCTTTTATATGACTTATACTCACAGCATTAATTGTGTTACACATTGAGTGATTTTCTTACCAAACATGGTGTATTTTCAAAAATATTGGTTGCCTTTAAACATTTTATTAAAATTTTATGTATTTGGTACAAGGACTGACTGTGCAGCTCAGACTCATAGTGAGCCTCCTGTTTTCAGCCTCCTAAGTGCTGGTATTACAAGCATGTGCCACCAGCCTGGTCTTGGCGGTCGGATCAGCACACTTAGGGGCAGGGCTGGTGTGGCATGTGGTACCAGGGATTGAACCCCGGTTCCTGCGCTTGCCTAAGCAGGTGCTTAGTCTGCTGAGCTATCTTGCCAGCCCTTAAATATTTTTATTTTTTATTTTTATTTTTTAAAGGAATATAAAACTACTAAATGGTGACCACTGCTCACCATTATTTACAATAAAGTAAACAATATACATTAGGATAACATTCTAACTACTACAAAGTTGTTTTCCTACCTTCTGCTAAAAACAGTAACCCGAATAGTGAAGATTGAACCTTCATGTAAGGAACAAGTTGGGGTCAAGAAATAGCAGGCAGGTCAAAAGTTTAGATTACAAGTTTGTCCACTTATTTATTCTAGGTCCTAAATTGTGCACACTGCCAGCCACTCAGTAGGTTTCTGAGAGCCAAGTCAAGATATACATGAATCCTGACTTTTGAGTGCAGATTGCAACTTGCTGTGAAGTAGTGAGTTTTGAGGATTTTTTAATGTTCCCTTGTTAAGTCTTCCTTAGCAAATTCAAACAAACCAAGTTTTGACTTGCTGCCTTATTCAGGTGAGAAAGTTGTTAGTAGAGATAAGAATTTTTTTTTTCTCTTTTTGAGACAGGGTCTCACTATGCAGTTGAGGCTGGCCTTGCACTCACTTTGTATCCCAGGCTGGTCTTGAAACTCCCATCATCCTCATGCTTCAGCCTTCCAAGTGCTGGGATTGTAGGTGTGCTCCACCATTGCCAAGCTAGATATGACTTTTTTGGGGGGAGAGTTTTGGAAATAAATTGCATTTTTGTGACTAAAGACAGACACAGATTCTGATATGCCTGCTTTGAAAATACCTACCTAAACTGTCCAATTAACCATAAAATCATCTATTTAATTTAAAAGGTTATGGCTTCAGGAAAACTTTCTATTTAACTGCAAGTGATTTCTTAGGTTGCTCAGAATGATGGCGTCTCAAACGTGGTTATCATCTATCTGTTAATTTCTAATTGTGACAATTTTATACAGTTATAAAATGTGCAGTCCATGTACAAGAAGAGCTTTGAAATCCAGCCGTCCTATGTATGGAGCCGTCACCTCCTTTTTACACTCGTTGATCATTCAGAATGAACCACGATTCGCTATGTTTGGACCAGGTTTAGAAGAACTGAATACATCTTTGGTGTTGAGCTTGATGTCTTCTGATGAACTTAGTCCAACTGCTGGTTTACCTCACAGACAGATTGATGGTAATTTTCATGTTACTGTACATAGTAACTCAAGACACTTTGAGCTTGACAAAGAGAAATTCATTTTTAATGAATTCTTGTATAATGAAATACAGTAATTTGGAGGTGTCCTCATCACCCCACCTCCCATGTCCCACTGGACTGAAACAATTACTTTAAGCATTATGAGAAGTTTTCTCTTAATTCCTCAAATTTATATAATACAGAATTTAATATTATGTGAAAGTAAATTGGTGTTACGATGCTGTTTGAAAAAGAGCTGTATAAGCACTTTCTCTCGTATGAAAAAAACCTGTAAATATTTGGTAAGATATGTATAATAATACAATTTACCTTATGCTTATTTATTGGAAAAACTTTTTAGATGTTATGATTGCAGAGATGTAGAACAAACAATGTGACATTTTTCAGTTCCTTGCAAATCATTTTGCTCTAATAGCAGGGATAAGTGTATAAATGAATAGAATTTGATACAATTAGCTCCTAGGTGGAAAAGTAAGGATCAAGCAAATTTGTAGTTATGAAATTTCATCCTCTAATCAGCAGCTGAACTGTTTAAAAATGCTAATCTCCATAAGCCTCAACTCTTACAAGATCAGAGAAGAATGTGGGTTACCTCGCTGGCAGAGAAATGCAGAATGGTATGGGACAGGCTTGGCTGAGGTTAGATGTGTCAAGAGGATAATTTATAGAAGTTAAGTATGGACAACAATGTTTAAGAACATGGTTGATCTGATTCCCATGTTTTTCTTGTGGAGTAACCACCCTGCCTGGAGGACAAGGATCAGCTTGCAAGAGTCCCAACACTGCAAAACTAAATGCATGTACTTCTTAGAATGGTGATGTGAGTTGGCATGACATATCTTATTTAAACAAATTAATTGATATAATGCCATTAGAGGTGTATCTCATGGTGATCTCGTGAGGTGATCTCAAGAGTACCTCCTACAGGCATTTCTCAGGAGGTAAGTGAGGTCACATATTACTAAGGTTTTATTTTTCTACCTGAAGGTAGAAAAGAAACATAAATATTATTAAGCAGTTTCTCCAACTTCACTCAGAAGAAAGAATAATTAGTGGCACAAAAGATATAGGACACTGGATAGAAGTGATTTAAGAAGTCTAAATAAGAGATATCAGGCCCTGAATGTTAACAACCAAAGGATGGAAGAGGTTAAGAAATACAGATGACAGCATTCAATCACTATACTAAGTAAAGGACTAAGAAGCTAATATTTAGCGCTTGTTATTTACTAGTCACTCAACCAGGAATTTTATGTATGGGATCTCAATACTTACAGTAACCCTAAAGGGTGTAGATATTTTTTATGTTTTTGTGTCTAAACAGAGGATGTTGATAATGATATAAAAAGACCATGATGAACCTAGCAGTTCTTTGTTCTTTACCCATATCTTCATTATCATCAGAATGAAAGTTCCATATAGCATCTTCTTTTCAACATGAACACTGCATTTTATTACAAAGCTGTGTATAATCTGTAGTTCTTCTTTGTTAGTTTTGCTTTCATTAGGTAACACATTTTCTAGCCTTTTTTTTGCTATCATTTATCAGTTTGTTTTGCTGATTATTTTTTTCTTTAGGTATTGGATCAGGAGTCAGTTTTCAGTTGAGCAACCAACATAAATTCAACATCCTGATACTGTATTCAACTACAAGGTAAATTCAATATCTTGATTATTATATTCAGTTACCAAATAAGTCTACCCACTTGTTGACATACCTAAAAATTTTAGAATGGAATCTGTTTACTGCGTATGGAATGATCATATTTTTTACTTTTTCCATATAGAAAGGAAAGGGATAGAGCAAGGGAAGAACATACAAGTGCAGTTAACAAGATGTTCAACCTGCAGCTTGAAGGAGATGACCAACAGAGAAGCCGGTACAGTGTAATTCCACAAATTCAAAAGGTCTGTGAAGTTGTAGATGGGTTCATCTATGTTGCAAATGCTGAAGCTCATAAAAGTAAGCACACTCTTATTTTCTTTTCAAAAGCATCAGCCTTTGCAAGCCAAACAAATAAAAAATAACTTTAAGTACTTAATGAGTTATCTTAAAAATTTGATAGTTTTATCACTCTGATTTTCTTACCATTACCATTAACAGTGGTTTCTCAGCTGTTGCTTTGTATTAGGATCATGCAGTGATCTTGTTAAACATATATCTGGCCAGTTCTTACCCTAATGGCTTGTGGTTCATAGATTTGAGGTGAATCATGGACATCTGTTCATATCAGTACCTGAGGGAATTTTGATGCACATCAAAGCTTGATATTATGGCTATATAATGTTTTCTTATGATATACTTCTCACTTTTTATTACTGACATTTTCCACCTATGACTATATTCAAATAATTTATACAGAACATTTGCTCTTTCATTTAGCACAAGGTGGCACAGCCCACTGCTAATGGCTCTTTCATTCTGAACAAGAAGGAAAAGTGAATAGACCCTCACTTGGAAAAATAGCAAAAGAAAGAGAATCACTTCCCCAAAGGCCTTTTTTTTCTACTGCCATCAATCCATTCATGAGGGCAAACCATTTCTATTAGTATGTTCGTAGTACATGGTGTTTACCTTTCTTTTGGGGAATTGATAAACCTGCCTGTTACATCTTAATTCCATGGTTTTCATCCCCCTTTCCATCCTTCCTTCCTTCTTCCATCAGTTTTTTGACCCCTCTTCCTTTTTTCCTAATAAACAAATTTAAAAAGAAGTAGCATTACCAGTCCTTCTAATTAAATATATATGTATCTTTATACATATATCTATATCTATATCTATCTATCTATCTATCTATATATATACTGTATGTATATTCAGTAAATCTCATTGTAAGAAATCTTAAAGGAAACTATTCAGACAAAATAGTATGATACCAGGTAGAAATTTGCATTTACAAAAATAAATGAAGAACCTTGAAATGTAAACAATATAGCTACATATTCCAAAGTTTTTTCTAATTTACTTTTAATTATTTAAAGGAAAATTAATGGATTATAGGATTATTTCTATTTGTAAAATATATTTTTAAAAGTAGACTTATAGGTAAGAATGTTTATTACAAGGCCGGCCAGATAGCTCAGCGGACTAAAGTGCCTGCTTAGGCAGAGTGCAGAGTCCCTGGTTCAATCCCTGGCATGCCATGCCAGCCCTCCCCCCAGGGCATGCTGAGACATTGATTGAGACTGGGCATGGTGGCACACACCTGTAATCTCAATGCTTGGGTGGCTGAAAACAGGAAGATCACTATGAGTCCGATCTGTGTAGTAAGACCCTGTAGACACTATACTAAATACATTTAAAAAAAGAATGTTTATTACAAATCCTTTAATAACTAAAGAAGTATAATGCAGCTATAACTAACTAATACAGTAGTAAAATGATAAAAGCTCACTTCAAAAGAAGGCTAGAAAATAGAGGAAAAGGAATGAAGAATAGATTGTACAGTCAAAATCTAAGGGGAATGATAGATTTAAATGTACCATGTTGGTGATCACATTAAGATTTTATTCAAGGGCTGGCCAAATAGCTCAGCAGATTAAAGCACCTGCAAGCAGGCACAGGGATCTGGGAGTTCAATCCCCATGCCTGCCATGCCGGCCCTGGCCCTGGAGTGTGCTGAGACAGCAATTGAGACTGGGTGTGGTGGTGTGCACCTGTAATCCCAGCACTTTCGAGGTTATAAACAAGAGAATCAGGAGTCAATGAGTAGTGAGACCCTGAATACCCTGTAGACCCTTCCCTAAAATACAAAAAAAATTATTTATTTTTCAATTGATATAAAACAAACTACTTCAAATTTAATGTCTTAATATGACACGTATTTGAACACAGTTCTCTGTGTCAGAAGTCTAGATGTGGTAGAATTGTGTTTTTATCTTACAGATTGAATTTAGGGTATTGGGTATATTATGCACTCTTCAAGACTCTGAGAAAGAATCCACTTCCAGACTCACCATTGGATGTGTTGGGTTCCTTATTGTTATAAGACTGAAGTCTTAATACTTTTGTTGCTGCTAACTGAAACCTTTATTTGGAAGCTTTCTGAAATTCCTTGTATGACTTTCTTCATCTTCAAGTCCAGAAGTGAAGGATCTCTTTCATGTAATTTCTTTCAATAGGAAAAGCCCTTTTTAAAGGTTCACTTTAATTAGCTCAGTCTCTTTCTTAAAGTCAGATTTGTCTTAAAACCTAGTCTTAGGAGGGATATGTAATTATTATATGTTCTCCAACACCTCAAGGGGAAAGGATTTACACAGGTGCTCTGAGTTTCATTTTAGAATTATGCTTTCCATGATGTATATAAATAGTCTAAACATTCAATAAAAATAGATATTTTTAATTTAAAAATCTAGATATAACTATATTCTTAAAATTTGTAAATAAGGCAGCTGTAGTTTTTTGGGAGAAAAATGTATATAATATTTTTACTTTTCAACTATTGAGACATTTGAATGCTATTGTGAATTTTTTGCGCTTTCACTTCACCAAAATTATCCTCAAAAAGCTACTTGTTCTAGTGTTATGGCGGGACAGTGACTTATTTTATTATTTTAAAAATAATTATGAAAACAATTAATATATCTGGCTTATTTTCTTTAGGACATGAATGGGAAGATGAATTTTCTCACATTATGGCAATGACAGATCCAGCTTTTGGATCTTTAGGAAGACCAATGCTGGTTTTATCTTGTATTTCTGAAGCACATGTAAAAAGAATGCCTTGTTTTTATTTGGCCCATGAACTGCATCTCAGTCGCATAAACCACCCATGGATGGTAAGGCCTTAGCTTCTCTGGTGATAAAAATTTCACTTTTCTATTTGACTTTTGTGTTACCTTTCTAAGTTTATGACAGTTACCTGAGGCAATGTACTTAAAAAGAGGAGAGAAGTCAGGTGTGATGGTACGTACTTACAATCTCATCACTCTGGGAGGTTAAGGGAGGAGGAATGAACGTTTGTTGTCAGCCTGAATAACTTAGCAACTTGATGAGAATTTGTCTAAAAACAAACAAAGAAAACAGAAGAAAAAAAGAACCTGGGATCAATCTCTAATACTGTAGATTTAAAAAAAAATTTTGACTCATTTTAAAACTTTCAGTCCATGGTTGTTTGGTCTGTTGCTTGTCCAGGAATGAAAGAAAAGGGCTGACATGCTGTTTTCCCTTCAAGGACATCAGATCTCCCACTAGGGCCCACCTCTTAAGTTTCACCACCTTCTGATAGCATCACCAGGTGGAGACCAAGCAGGCTTTTAACAGGTAGACTTTTGGGGCATTTATCCAAACCATACCAGTTTTGTTTTTTGTATTCATATTCTTTTAATGGACTAGCATATAATGTAAACTTTAACAGTTTGGTGTTAACAAATCTCAGATGATCAGTCCTTGCCTCTATACCTGCTCCCTACTTGTCTCTCCAGTTAGAGCAACAGCATCAATGTATTATGCTTTAAGAATTAAAAAATATATATATAGGTGGTTATGTCTTGTGGATGTAGCTGAGTGGTAGAGTGCTTGGTTAGCATGCATGAGGCTCTAGGTTTTATCTCCAGAACCACCAAAAACATTAAAAGAAAAGACTGTGTCTTTTATTTTGTTAATTCACAAGATGTAGTTTAATTATGGGATGCTTTTGCTGAAAAATTTAGGGGATCTTCTTCATTCTTCTCTTGTGTTTTGTCCCTCGTGCTCTAGCAGCTCTTTGGAATACAAGGTGAAGGCTAGTAAGAAAGGTGTACCCTCCTGAGTGGTGGGAGTTTTAGCCCTACAATTAGAAGTGGCAGTTTTCAACACTTGTTTTTCAAATCCTTAAACTTATATTTTAACTATTATATAAAAACCATAAAAATTTACGAAGTAGTGGGGTACTACGTGATATTACAACACACATATACATCATGAAATATCTGAGATTAAGCATGCTATTTTCTTCAAATATTTATTATTTCTTTATAAAGAAGACATTCAAAATCCTTACTTCTACATTTTAAAAATATACCTCAGAACTTACTCCTGTGTAACAATAACAGTCCCATTGATCAACCTTTCTCTGTTTCTTCTTTTCTACTCTTCTCAACCTCTGGGTTTCCTCTCAGCTTTTTAAGATTCCATGTATAAGTAAGATCATTTGGCACCTGTTTTTCTGTGTCTGGTTTGTTTCACATAACATAATGATTGTCCCTTCATAGTGATGTCACAAATAGCTATTCTATTATTATTCTTTTTTTCTCAAAAGAATATTATTCATTGTGTATATACCATATTTTTCTTTAACCATTCATTGGTTGATTCTGTTCTGTCAGTTGTAAATGACACTGCAATGAATGTGGGAATGCAGGTGTCTCTTTAACATTTCATTTCCTTTGGATACATGTATTTATTAGTGGGATTGCTGCATTGTATGGTAGTACTGTTTATAATTTTTGAGGAATCTCCATACTGTTTTCCATAATGCTTATGGTGATGTACATTTCCACTAATAGCGTGTATGGATTCTCTTTTCTCCACATCTTGACCAGATCTTGTTATCTGTCTTTGATAATAGGTATGGAAATGAAGAAATATCTCATGAAGAATTTGATTCATAGTTCTCTCATGATCCTCATGTTGAACACTTTTTGTGTACTTATTGGTCATTTGATTCTTTTTAAAAAATGTTTGTCAATTGTCCATTTTTTTAGAATTCTTTTTTTTTCATTATTTTATAGGTAATATTTGAGTGTCTAGTATTTCTATTCCTTGTGGGAAATTGGTATATGTACACAATGCATTGTAATTGCTTTTTTATCCACTTTGCCCTTTATCCCTCTCCCATCCATTCATCTCTTGATTTTCTTCCCCTTTTATGGAAAATGTTTGTAATGTATAACATCTGTATTCCTTATGTAGAGTTGGTACATGTACATATTGGATATTAATTCCTTTTTTAAAAATTCCTTTTCCCCCACCTTCCATCCTGCCTTCCTTCTATTTTTTGATCTTTCCACTTGAGAAAGATCTTTTTCCAAACTTCCTATTCTCTTTTATTTTGATCTTTATTTATGCTTTGAGTTTCTCACATAAGGGAAAACATGCAGTATTTAAATGTATATCTGATTTATGTCCCTTAATATCATGGTTTCATGCCTCCATGTGCTGCTTTAAACATAGGTATGCATGTATCATTCTAATATGCTGTCTTTATCTCTTTAGGGAAGGTACTTAGAAGGACAATACCTGGATCAGATTTTTGAGGAATCTCTATCCTGATTTCTGAAGTGGTTGTATTAGTTCATATTACCAGCAGCAGTGTAGGAGGGCTCCTTTTTTCTTGCAAGCCTCACTGGCATTTGTTATTAGTTGATCTTGATGACGGCCATTCTTTCTGTGGTGAGGTGAATCTCAGTGTTGCTTTAATTTTCGTTTCTCTAATGGCCAGTGTTGTTGGGCATTTGTTCATGTATTTCTTGGTCATTTGTACTTCTGTGAAGTGTCTGATTTTGTGAAGTTGCCCATTTTTGTTGAGTCTTTTATTTGGGGAGGGTCTAATATTTTTTATTTATTTACATATTCTAGATATAGGTCCTCTAAGGATTATCTAGCAAAAAATTTTCCTAGTCTATAAGTTGTCTTTTCACTGAGCTGGTTGCTTCTTTTACTGTGCAGAAGCTTTTCAATTACATATGATCCAATTTCTTGATATGGTGTATGTATAAGTTCTCTTGCTATTGAGATTTTGAATTTCTGGTATATTCTAGATATCAGCTTCACATCAGAAGTGTATTTAACAAATATTCTTCATTCTCTAAGTTGTTTCCTAATGCTGATGATTCTTTCCTTAGAAGTGTAGAAGCTTTTTAGTTTTATATAGTTCTATTTGCCTAAGTTTTATTTTTGTTTCCAGTGATTTGAAGGTCTTATTTAAGGTAGATTTGCCTACACCTGTGTCTTTATGTTTTACCTTAATAGTTTTCATTATTTCACATCTTACATTTAAGTCTTTGTTCAACCTTGAGTTAGTATTTGTTACTGGTGAAAGGTAGGGATTTGTTATGGTTTGTGTCTGTTTGTCCCCCCAAAGCCTCATAACATGATCAAGGCTGGGATTATGGGTTTTAGTACTGCTGGGATTGTGGGAGTGAGTACTTCCTCTAGCCTGGGGCAGAGAGCCTGAATGCAATTTAAGAGAGACAGACTTCCTCTCTGTTGCCATTTATTGCTGCTACTCCTCCATTTTGCTCTCTGCTCTTTGCCACTGCCATAAATTGCTGCCCACTGCCATGTGCCAGTCTGCCTTGGACCGGCTGATCATGGGCTAAAACTTCCAGTCACTGTGAGCTAAATAAACTTTCCCTTCCTTCATTTTGAGTGTCAGATATTTGCCCCAGCAATGAAAGAAGAGTAACTGAGACAGGATCTACATTCATTCTTAAACATATGAAAACCCATTTTTCCCAGCACCATTTATTAAAAGGATGGTTGCTTCTTTAGATAAATTTTTTACAGAAACTTTGGTGAAAATAAGTTGACTCTGGTTGTATGGAGTTATTTCTGAGTACTCAGTTCTAGTCCACTGCTGCTCTGTGTAT